AAGGCTGTGGGGAAAAAGGAACCCTTCTCCACTGTTGGTGGGAGTATAGACTGGTGCAACTCCTGTGGAAATCAGTCTGGAGATTCCTCAGTAAACTAGGTCTAGAGATCCCATTCAACTCACCTATTCCTCTTCTGGGTATTTTTCCAGAAGAACTACAAACATCATACCACAGTGATATATGTGCACCCATGTTTATAGCAGCTCAATTTTTAATAGCTAAATCGTGGAAGCAGCTCAAATGCCCATCCACTGTGGAATGGATAAAAAAAGATGTGGCATTTTTACATAATGGAATATTACTCAGCTATAAAGAAAGATAAACTTGAGGCTTTCATAGGCAAATGGATGCAACTAGAGTCCATACTCATAAGTGAAATAAATCAGACCCACATGTGTAAATACCATATTATCTCACTAGTGTAGGAACCTGAAAGAGTAAATAAAATCTGAAAGGTATGATGGATACTGTGAACGGGAAAGAAACTGTTCAAAGGGAGGGAACAACTGGGATGAGGGAGAGGAAAAAAGAAAGAAGGGAAAAATATGTGTATATATATGTGTGTGTGTGTGTGTGTGTGTGTATACACACATATACCTATATACACACAGGGTAACTGAGTCATACTACCAACTTCTATTGCTTTATTGAAAGGAACAGTTAATGCTTAATTGTTTCATCAACCTTAAGTGCCTATATTTGTTTAACTGAGTAATAAATTTAAAAATAACAATATGTAATATAATATCCATTGTTAATTTTCTATCACCTTATATGAAACTCTGCATTGCTTCTATTGTTTGGGTGTTGTTTTGTTTATGTCTGTTTGTTTGTTAATATATTTTCATTCTTTATCTTTAAGAATAAAAAAAATTTAAAAACAAGGAAGAAATGATTAGACCATATTGACTAATTACTGACCATCTCAGATCAAGACTCAGGAAAGCTTTGAGAGAGATGCCTTAGAATTGTGGCAGGATGCTTGAGCAGTCCCATGAATCACTTGAGGTGTGTGATCATAAAATTAAAGTGAGATCTTTCAAGAAGGTGTTTGTTCTCAGCAGAGTTCAGCCACCTGGGTGCAAAGGTGGAGTAAGCGGGGAGTTGAATGAACCAGTGAACACAGTGAGGCGACAGAAGGGGAGGGACTGATGGCCATGTGGGGAGGGGTTTCAGTGCTGAACTATGGCATCTTACATGGGCTAGGGGAAGAGTGGAGGAATGAAGGAAGCAGGGGCAGGAAGATGTACGGTCAGTAGATTGAGGCTGCCTATGTGGCTGGAGTAATAGTGCAAACTGTAAAGGTCTGAGACCCTCAGAAAATGGCCTATTTAATAGGCTGAATAATGTCCCTCAAAAATTCATGTGGAGCTTCAGAATATAAACTTATTTGGACATGGGATCTTTGCATATGTAATCAGCTAAGATGAGGTTAGATGCTAGATTAGGATAGATTTTAAATCTCATGACTGGTGTCCTTATTAGAAGAGCCAAGGACCCACGGACCAGGAGGGAGAGGGTATGTCACTACAGAGATAGAGATTTGAGTAATACAGTAAAGCTACATTCCAAGGCCTGCTACAGATTGCCAGAAACTACCAGCTAGCAATGGAGGAATTCTTCCCTGGGGGCTTCAGCGGGAGTATGTTCCTGCTAATGCCTTTGTTTGGACTTCTAGAATTTAAAACTGCCAGAGAATAAATTTCTATTGCTTTGAGCCACCCAGTTTGCAGGACTTTACCTTGCCAAACCTAGGAAGCTGTTATAACCAGCTGATTCCTGTTCAGTCAGTAGCTCTTAGCTTAACAATATCCTCTGTGGTCATGAAAGTCATTGTTTGTAGATCCACTTGGCTGTGGACCAAATTCGCCTGGCTCTCTCTCAAGCAGGGCATGCCAGCACAGCCACTGACGTTTTGGTAATGCCACAGCTTGCCCAGAGGGGTGTGTTCAGCAGGGCCTCAGGGTCCGTCATTCTCTGTGGAACATTTAGTGTAGCAGTGTTTAATCCTGTGCAGCTGCCCTTACATGAAGAGATTTCCTGTGCAAATATCCTCTTGCTGTGAGGCAGAGAGTCTGGCTGTGGGTATAGCTTAGGCTGGTTTCCTACTATCCAGTTCTTCAGCCTACCGTCTTTGTAGCAGCAGTGTTTGCAGAAGCAGTGGGCTCTTCTTGACCTTCAGTCTGCTTCCAGAGTGTCCACTGAGCAGATGAGTGCGTGTCCAGAGTCAGCCCTGCAAGAGGGCAGAATTTACCCCTGCTTTGTCCTGTTTGCTGCACTTGTCAGCCACCAGCCCCAAGTGCAACAGTCCACAGCAGGGAGGAAACCCCACTTGGGTCCAGGGAGACCAAAGGGTGCTTCTCTTACTTGCCTGGAGGACCCTGCAGCTATCTATCTCAGTAGCTGCTCAGACTAGATCAGGTTTCAGAAGGGGTGCTAGTCCTTGGGGCTCTCCTAAGGCTGGTTCTGGAGTTAGGAGCAGCACCCCATTAGCTGTCTGGCTGCTCTTTCCTGAAAAATGTACAGTCATTCTTCCATCTATACAAGAGTTGGGGAAGGCCTGCGAGTAGTTACCAAGGAAGACAGGCAAGTCTCTGCTTCTGAAGAATGTCTGGGAACGGGGAAGGCTGCCGGGCTAGCCAGCAGGTACAAAACTCTGGGGTTAGGACCAGAAAGAACAGTGTGTGGTGCGCAGTTGAGGGTGTTGGGGGAGGCCTGTTGATTCACCTGAGATCTGGAGGAAAGGAACAGGTCTCTCTCAAGAGTTATGCCTGGATCCACCTGTACTGGGAAAGGAACAGACAAGGGCTTTTTTAGAAGCCTCTTTAAAAATTGGGAAGAGTACCCCCCCCATCACCTCCCTAAGGACAAAAGTATTTATTCCTCACCTTTGGCTTCCCAGCACCCTGACTTTTTTTTACTGTGGCGCTAGGAATATAGCACTTCCCTCACCTGCAGTCAAAAATTTGACCCAGTTTTTAACTAGTGAGGCAGGGCAAACCTGGGGTTAGCTTGGCTCCTAATAAACTCCCAGAGGCAAGTGATTCAGCTTTTTGGACCTCAGGTTTTCTATTTGTAAAATGAAATAGGGGTAATATGAACCTAGGTTCTGTAAGATACCTTCTGATCTAACATGTGGATCTCGGAAGTCCTGAAAGAAATATATGGCAGATCCAGAGAGTACCGAACTATGAAGCAGAAGGTAGAATGGGAAGCCACTTGCTCCTGCAGTGTGTAGGGGACTGAGAGGCCCAAGGAGGGACCTGAAAAGCTTAGTAAGATGAGGAGTGGGACAGCTGCCGGGACCCAGGGATGTACATGTGGGCCCTAGGCTCTAGGGCCCTGGAAGATCAACATGGGGCTGTGGAGAAGAGCACTTGTCTTAGCAAGAAGAGGTCAAGGTGGGCCTGTAAGAACAGAAGCCAGGCAAGGACAGGCTCAGCTGAATGCATGGACATCCTGGGAGGCACAGAGGGTGAGTCACCCTGGGCGACGTTGTGAAGCAGCACATTTGTGGGGACCCCCTTCACCTCTCCTCACTCTGTCTCTGTTGCTCCCCCTATGGACCACTCACTGGCTGCTTCTCCTAAGTGTTCTGTGCTCCAGAAATACTTCTCCCATCTGCCATCTTTGTCCCCTCCCAAACTCCTCTGTTGGTACTAGCAGATGGCACCTTGGACCTTCAGGTCATGAGTATGGAGACCCTATGAATGGGGTCAGCACCTTTATAACAGGCCCAGGGGGGCTTCTTCAGCATTTCCACCAGTTAGGGAGGTAGGGGGAAAGTAGTGTCTGTGAGCCTGGAGATGGGTCCTCAGCAGACACTACATCTGCCACCACCTTGACTTTGGACTTCCCAGCCTCCAGAATGGTGAGAAATAACTTTATGTTGTTTGTAAGTCTCCCAGTCAAGGGTGTTTTACTATAGCAGACCAAATGGCTAAAATATCAACCAAAACTTGGCTCAGAAAAACTTAAAGAAATAGTTAATTTGTTGGATGCTGCTGTATGTCAGGCAGTGTGTTAAAGGGTTTACAAAGGATGGGATGTTGAAATTAAATCTCTTACATAATTTTGCATTTTGAAGGAAGAGTTCAGAATCCAAAGATAGAGTGAATGAAAGCTGGTGTTTTCTAGACAAAACAATTAATCTTCTAGGCTTTCTAAAATTATATTGTATAGGTTATCAAGAGTATGATCTTTCCATTTTCTAAGGAAAAAAACCTAAGGTTTGAGCTTATGAATAAAAGATAGGGGAAAGGTAGTAGGCAGAGTGTATTGGTTTTTTTTTTAAAGAAAGAAAGATTTTTGCATAGTTGAAAGCAAAGGAGCCACTGGAGTACTCAGGAAAGGGAGGGGACATTTGGAGGGTCCCTAAAGACTCAGGAGGATGTAGAACCTGTGGCGTGGTAGACAGCGGGGCCATCAGGAAAGTTTTTTTTTTCACTGAGTCTGAAAAGAAGCTGAGGTGGGTGTGGAGTAAAATGAGGGGTCAGAATGTGTGTTGAAGTGACAACCCAGGGCTGCTTGGAAAGAAAATGGGATGAGTTTCTTGTCTCTGGGAGAATGGAGAGGACATTTGAGAGACAATCAGAGGAAGGAGCCAGTGCAAACTGCCTAGCAGCTCTGGGAGCTCCAGCCGGAGTGGGCAGGGGGGGAGTCACTCTTCACCTCCTCACCTCTCTGTCCCCTGACCCCAGGCTGGTTCCAGCAATTCTCTTGGGTCCCACAGCCTTGTCTTCCTCTCACTCTCCTGGGGTCTCTGGTGTTCTTTTTGTCTCTGAAGGCACTCTGAACACTTGTCTTATTACACCATGGATGCATTTGCTAAAGAAATTGTATCTGAGCACCAAGTCCCAAGTCAGTGTCACCAAGAGCATCCCCTTCACCTGAGGAACACTGACAGCACAACAGGAGGCAAAAGTCTCTGTGTGCAGGAGACTGGAGGGTCCAGACAGGTGAAGGACCATCTCTAACTGGATTCTCTTTTATGTGTCAGGAGACGAGGAAGAAGAACAGGGAAATGAAGACCAGTTGGATGGTATGGTCAGAACCCCTGGGCCCAAGGGGCCAGTTGGGACAGTGTCAGAAGCCCAGCTTGCTCGGAGGGTCACCAAGGGAAAGAGCAGCCGGCGGATGCTATCCAACAAGCCACAGGACTTCCAGGTAGAAACAGCTGGCTCCACATCCTGTTCAAGCGGCCACATGGCCTGTCTTCCCACAAATGCAGTGATGCGGTGGAGCACTGCTCATCAGAGCAGCAGCTCACCTGGTAGAAAGGGATATCAGGAAATGAACCTCACAAGGGATCTCACTGATTTTCCTTCTGCATTCAGAAGTAGGTTTAGTTAGATGAGGTCTTCCTAGGAATAAAGCTAGAACCTCCCTTCCCTTTGGAGATAATTAATGATACTGCATTTTTTCATAGCTCTGGGCAGCACTGCTTTAGATTTGCAAGGTAGCCTTGCAGTGAGTGTATGATCAGGGCTCATGAAGACCAGGTCAAGTGCTGGCGGTGGATCAGTGACCTCAGCCCTGTCCTTTCCTGGGCCAGTTCTGAACTATTCCACTCCTTTAGCTGCTCCAGCAAGCTTAGCTTCCATCTTAGGAATGATCTTGCATTGAGCATCAGCCCACTACACAGCGACCTTAGCCTGCTTTCCGCCATCTTTATGAACTCCACGGAGCTGAAGTGACACCTGAGGACACTTTTATACCTCATGCTAGGGAAGGGTTGCTAATATCCCTTTTGCGCTTGCAGATCCGTGTCAGGGTGATTGAAGGCCGACAGTTAAGTGGCAACAACATAAAGCCTGTAGTCAAAGTCCATGTCTGTGGCCAGACACACCGAACAAGAATCAAGAGAGGGAACAACCCATTTTTTGATGAGGTGAGTATTGTGCATATGCACCTCCCAACTCTCACCACCTCTGCCCATCTGTGAGTAAACAGCTGGTAAGGACAATGCAGAGTTCTAATGTTAAATGTATAGAGTTAAGAACCCCTGGGCCTTCACGTCAGCTGGTTGGCTTTGTCATTAGTTTTCAGAGTGATCTGTGTCTTTCTGATGTTTCCACAGCAACTTTCCCATGGGTCACTTCACACCAATGATAGAGCACATGATGTCACTGACATCTACTTTTGCTTCTGGGGTATGACTCTATATGACTATGTAACTTATTTTTAAAAGGTGTTGAAACTGGCTTGCTATTTAAAAATATGTTAAAGGCAAGCAATTTTGATTAAATGGCTTTTCCCCCTACACAGAGAATGCAGCCTGGTTCTGTTGACCTCTTCTGCGACCCTCTCAGAAATACTGCTTTGACAGTTGTCTACAATGTTACAAAGCTTTTTGCCTGGGTTGTGAACAGGAGTGATAAGCCTGGGGGATTCTCTGAGTCTGGTCTTTCTGTGCCCAGGGGACACATTGCTGGGATTCCTCGGACCTGGGTCTTCTCTGAGTCCACAGTCTCTCTTCCTTGCTTATAGCTTCTTACCCCAGCTCTGTTTCCTTATCTTTTTTCTCCTGAGAGACTGGGAAATTCACACTGAAGGGCAAGATGCCAGGTGACTCAGACCCTGGGACCTGGCAACTGTCAGGGAGCACAGTTATGATGCAGGCTTCGTGATCACTCTGGGGAGCACAGCAAGAATCTCTACCTTCCTCAGAAGTGTCCCATTTTAATGAATTGTTTTGAGAGTATATCACTCTCAAAAAGGAGAAATCAAATTATTGGACTTCTAAACCAATTCATAATTATTGGGCTTCTAAATTAATTCATAAATCACTAAAAGAAGGTTACTGAAAAAATTCCTAGTTTATATTCATTGTTTTCACCGAGGAACTGAACTTGTTATCACCAATAATGAGACAAAAGGACAAGGCTGTGTTGATGTGACATCATGGAAGTCATCAACAGTTACCCTGTGTCATGTGTTGCCACGTGGCTGAATTGCATAAGTGCAGAAACATTCACACAAAGCCAGAGTGCAGGTTTTACAAAACAGCAGTCTCCACAGGACAATCAAGAAAGAAGCAAATAAAAAAGTCAATAGCGCTAGTCTAGATAAAAGGAAATGCAGAGATGTAACAGTGAAATGCTTTATGATTCTTGCATGAATCCTAGATTTGTTTCAAAAAAAGAATGCTAAAGAGCCTTTTTTCTGGAACAAATGGAAAAATTTAAAAACTGACTACATATATTAGATGCTAACATTCTTAGGTATGATAACAGTATTGTGGTTATGTAGGAAGATGTCCTTGATCTTAGGAGATATATGCAAATGTATTTTGAAAAGGTGAACTCTATGGTATCTAGAATTGTTCTGAAGTAATTTGGTTGAAAATAGAGTAAGAAGCAAATGTCCCAAAATGATAACAACTGGTAAACATGGTTAAAAGATGGTGTTTTGTTTTGTTTACCATTCTTTCCACTTACCTATAGATTTGAAATATTTCTAAGAATTTGGAGCAAGGTATTTTCATTTGAATAAGTGCTTTTCTTTTAGGATTAACATTTATTGGGCAAGGTACTACCTCTGTATGTCTGATATTGATCTCCCAAGAATCAATCTTCTTAAACTTAGCTCTTATAATTGGTAAATTGACATTGGAAAGCATTACTATAACCTAATGGACAAAATTTTCCTTTAAGCTGGTTTGTTAGAAAAATTAAAATTGTAGTCACTAGACAAAGATGACAGAGTTTAAAATGTTAGTGAATTAAATGAACACTTGGGTCATGTCAGCCCTAAGGACCTATTTTAGTAACAGTGGCGACATGAAGTGATCCTAGATCTTTGCTTCATTTAGCTAACAAATATCTAATCCCAAACAACTTTATTCAGCTAAATGAGTGCAATATTTATTACTTCTCTCTCTTCCTTTTTCTAACATGCAGAAGTGGGTTTATCATGAAGCTTAAATTTTAGGCCCTTTTCTAAGACCTGCAATGTGACCATGTGATCAAACTTGCTTTGAATATTTGTACTTTTTTATTCATTTGTTTTGAGAAAGGGACTCACTATGTGGTTTAGGCTGGCCTTGAATACATTATGTAGCCTAGTCTGACCTTGAACTCACCACGATTGTCCTGCTTCAGCTTCCCAAGTGCTGGGATTACAGGTTTGCACCACCAAAGCCAGCTTGTATTTGTTGTTATTGTTCTGTTTTGTTTTACAAGATCCCAATATAACACCAGATTCCCAGTACCCCTATCTCCTGCTAATATTTAAACATGTTCTTTATTTTTTTCACAGTTATTTTTCTACAATGTTCGCATAACCCCTTCTGAATTGATGGATGAGATAATCAGCATCCGGGTAAGAGGGGCAGGAATAGGAAAGGATGGTTCACTGCCAGGCAAAGATGTCCAGCCTTTCACCATTCTTTCTTTCAGGTTTATAATTCCCATTCTTTGCGGGCAGATTGTCTGATGGGAGAGTTTAAGGTAGGTGACAACAATCTGCTTCATTCAACTTGCATAAAGATCAGAACTCTCATTACAGAGAACCCGATTCATGCCCAGTCTAAGAGTACTTGTCTTGATGACATTTTAGGATGATGTATAAGGAAGGGGTCAGCATAGTGATCTTTGTAGAGGACTACCTTGTTCTTATCTTTTTCTGTTGTGGCAAAGGTACTTATTTAATTGAGTCACCTGTGGAGGCCAGATGTAGAGACAAGTAAGTTTATTGGGGGCCAGCAGCGGGTACCCAGTATATGACTAAGCACAGACCCCAAAGGGCAGGAGGGGAGAATAGTTATAGTTTTAGTTCTGACTCTAGTTTCGAGTCTTTGAGGCTGGTGCTCGTATAATTTAATGCAGCTACAAAAATACTACAAAGCATGGGCTTAGCTTGTGACAAAGGAACAAAGGTGTTTAACATTCCACAGAGGGAACAAGCAGCCTTATGACAGAGCATGGGGTGGTATAGGGTGGTTAACTATGACGACATTTACAAGAAACAAACTTAAGGAAACAGAAACTTAAGCTTTAAAATGACACTAGAACACAAAATAGCATTAGTTTAGTTTTTCTTCCCATATCATTTCTAAAATACCATACTTAATAGTACCCCAAAGCAAAGTGCCCTGCCGCTACTGCCAGCCTGCTGTCTATGGGTAGAAGCAAGCCTACTCTTCAAAGAGAGGGGTGCTTGATTGGTAAGAAATCCATCACTTGGCTCCATTGAACCGTGTCTCCAGAGCTCCCTCTATAAAGCCAATTGCTGTAAATCTGGAATATGAAAGGAAAATCAAATGAGGCAAGAGAATCAGCACACTTTTCTAAGAAGTTCGTATTAGAAGTCACAGACAAATAGACTTGGTTGACTCCTCAGCAGTTCTCCAGGGAATGGGCAGAGAAGAAACTTCAGTTACTAAAAGTCCTAAAGGATAATCTGGGTCATATAGACCTGTGTATGTAAAAAACCTAGCCCAGCACTTGGCACATTAAGATATCTGATCGATGGCTGTAGTAATATTAGCATCAGCAGTGGTTGGAGGAGGAGGAGGAGGAAGAGTATTAGGTAGGAAGTTGAACTAGATGAATTTCTGTAGGGTAGTTAATGGTCCCAATTTGCTTCAGACTTTCAGTGCTAAAACTAGGACAGACTCAGGCAAACTGAGACAAGATGGTCATCCCTACTTTCATGGTGTGTTCCAGCTGTAAGACTAAGTCTTTCATCCAGCAGTGATTGATTGGGGGTAATCTATATCACACATATAAAGCAAAGCTCTGGAGGTGCAGAGAGAGTAAGATGGAAATTTATATCTAGTTGAAGAGATTTAAGTCTGGTCAAAAGCACTGTGTTTAAATATAATAATTTTGCTTTCCTTGAAGTGATGAGACTGATTTAAAAATCTATTTACACTACTTTAAATTATTTTTCCCAGATTGATGTTGGATTTGTTTATGATGAGCCTGGTGAGTAATGTTCGCGCCCATCAATTTGAAGCCTCCAGTTCATTCCTTCTTATCCTGATTCTAAGAATCAAGACAACTTTGGAGGTCAAGGAATCAAAAATCAAAGGATAAAATTTTGTTGTTCTTGTTGGTGGAGAACTCTTGGTCAAATGAATAACAGTAACTTGGTGTGAATGTCTGTTTAATCTTGGTATGTCTAAATAAGCAATTTATATGTTTTATGACAATAATTTTTACCTTATCAAGAAGGGATTATGAAGTCAGTTAGTAAAGCTTAGAAACTTTTGAGTCACACTGAGATCAAAAGGTGGAATGGGGAGGAGGAGAATGAAGAACAGAGGATATTAATACACAGACTTGACCGGGGAATTTGCTCCACCAGTGTGAAACTTCCAAAGACATGCTTGCTGATCTTAGGGCAGATGAAATCACAGCCCCACAAACACAGCTTTAGAGTGTCTCTGTCTTTTTGCTGCTTTGTTTTAGGTCATGCTGTCATGAGAAAATGGCTTCTTCTCAATGATCCCGAAGATACTAGCTCAGGTGCTAAAGGTTACATGAAAGTCAGCATGTTTGTCCTGGGAACTGGAGATGAGCCTCCTGTGAGTCCCTAAATTCTGTACTTTTTACTCTTCCACAAAAAAAGGAAGATCAGAGATTCAACAAGTGGGCACCAGTAGTTGTGGAAGGGAGCATCCAGTCAGTGGCCCTCAGCCCTCTAATTCCTTCTATTTTCAAAAAGATGTTCTTTCCTTCATCATAGGTCATCATTCTAGCTCACTTACTTCCGATGTCTATGAGTGAGCAATCCAGAAAATATATGTGCTTTTATGACTTCCTTGTGTTATTAGAAAGACTGATTCTATCCACAGAGCATGGCTTACTTGCAGAATTAGACACTGCTACCTAAAGGGTTTGTGATTATTCTAGGAATTTGGGCAGCAACTGGGGAGTGAAAAGGGGCCAGAGAGAAATTAGAAGCACATCAAGATGTGTTTTCTCTTTGTCTCTCTGTCTCTGTCTGTGTCTCTGCTTTAGTCTCTATCTCTCTGTCTGTCTCCTCACCTCTGTTTGATACTCTTAAGACTACAAAAGGACACAGAAACATATAAGCATTGACTTTGTGGAACAGTTTTGAGATTGAAGGAAATTCTTAAGCCCCAAACACAGAAAATACTAATGCAAGCAGTTTCAATTTACAAGCATCAGGGGCTGGGGATTTAGCTCAGCGGCAAAAGCGCCTGCCTGGCAACCACAAGGTTGTGAGTTCGGTTCCCGGTACCAGAGAAAAACCAAAAAAAAAAAAAAAAAAAAAATTTACAAGCATCAGTTAGGGCTTCTAAAGTGCTCCTTTTTTGGTACATGTATAATTTTAATCATGTATTTCCAAAAGCCTGAGAAACAAGATCGTGATAATGACAGTGATGATGTGGAGAGTAATTTGTTACTCCCAGCTGGCATTGCTCTTCGGTGGGTGACCTTCATGCTGAAAATCTACCGAGCTGAGGACATTCCCCAGAGTATGTATTGATTTTGTTTTTCACTGATATTGTCAATTATCTGCTTGATGATATGTGTTAAAATAATACTCTGATGCTCCCTGCTATAGGTTTTTCTTCTGAAAGGATTTCATGGACTTATTTTCATTCATCTGGCCCCATGGAAGCTTCCTGAGCAGGCTCCTGGGGAAGCCAGTTTGTTGTTGGTTCTCGTTCCTTGCTGAGTACTTACCTGCCTTTGACCCATTCTGCTCTATCCTTTTTTCCATCAAAGTTCTATGTCTTCTCCTTCTAGAGAATAATAAAGAGAGGTGAGCAGTCAGCCCTTCCAATCCATTTTATCCCAAATGAAAATTTAAAATTTTGTCATCAAATAAATATGTTTGCTATTAAACTATTAAAACTAACCAAGCAAAGGACACTAAGGTCCTATTAACTAGAAGTCTATTCTTATAATCTTATAATACTCTATTTATAATACAATCTCTATTTTAGGGGGCTGGGAATTTAGCTCAGCGGCACAGCGCCTGCCTGGCAAGCGCAAGGTCGTGAGTTCGGTTCCCGGTACCGGAAAAAAAAAAAATCTCTATTTTAGCAAGAGATTGGACACATTTAAGTAATTGCTTAGCTATTCCATGTAAAAGGACCAGTCTAGCCCCCGCCCCCATCACTCTTGAGGTCCCAGTGTCATACCTGCCTTGCCTGACCCCAGTGCTTCCTGCTGGCCTCTGGGACATAGGCCTTTCTCCATGTCCATGGGAGGCAGCACCCACAGCACAGACTATGGAACTTCTGAAGGTTTACCACTTTCCCTCAGGAAATTTCTCTCTCTCTCTTTTTTTTAAGACCCTAGAATGGTTTATACTATGTTTCCCTCAGAAATACCTTTAATAAAGTAAATTAAACTTCATATTATGCTTTCTATGTTGACTTGTTCAACTGATCTTTATCTGCTTTGGAATTTGTTAAAACAGAGACCTATATTTGTAGTGGACTCTGTGTTACAATTATGTTATTTATGAGTATGCCACATTTTCTTGAATATCTTTAAAAAACAGGACTGCGCCTATCTGATTTTTGTTCTAAGGCTCCTTTTCCAAATTGAAACTGTGCTTGAATTTGAGAATTGGCTCTGACTCTGAATGAATTGGATTTTCTTTTTTTCCCGGTACTGGAAGTCGAACTCATGACCTTGCACTTGCCAGGCAGGCGCTGTGCCACTGAGCTAAATCTCCAGCCCTGAATCAGTCCAGGTTTTAAAATTCTACTTTCTTCTTCCACAAATGATCAATTCTTAACATGATAAGTTATTGAAGTTTTTTTCAAAGTGCTCCTATTAGTTGCAAAACTTTCTGGGAAGAAGATATTTTCTCTCTCAAGTAGGGCAAAAAGAATTTCACCTGCTATTGCTTGCTGCCCTAGAGAACAATTCTTGTTTTCCTGCTTTCATGTATAGGAGACTTTTTAAATTTTTGCTGAATATTTTCCATTTTTCTAAGAGAATCAAATTTCATTTCTGCTTTGTGACATATTACTTTCCAGTGGATGATGCCTTCTCACAGACAGTAAAGGAAATATTTGGTGGCACTGCTGATAAGAAAAACCTCGTGGACCCTTTTGTAGAAGTTTCCTTTGCTGGAAAAAAGGTTGGTGTGTTATCTAAATGCTGACATATCTTGAGTAAATACTTAAAGCACTGTGCTTTCCTTGGAGCAAATGTCTGCTTATTCTTTGTCCAAACAGCCGCCTGATGAGCAGGCTGTTCCGCAGGAGCACAGACTGTCTGAATATGACCGTGCCAGACTTCTCCACAGCTTCATAGTAGAGTGGAAAGTATGCAGGACTCATATCAGAAAATTCAGTCTTTTGAAAATTCAGTCTTTTGAAAGTGAAAGCTACTCCTGAATTATTGGGATTATTTTCCAGACTCAAGCATTATCTTAGACAAGCCAGCCAGAAACATCCTTGCTAAATATAATAGGGTGTGCAACCCCCACACACAACTTCTGGCTGTTCCTTCCTGGCATGATTCCCACCTGCCTTGCCCCAGGAGGCAGCTGAAATGGAAAGTTGGACAAGGACACATCAGCCCTGTCTCCTGGAAAAAGCCATGAGAGACTTGACGTAGGAACACTATAACCACCACAGAGATGGCCAAAGCCAGTTTTATTCCTTAGAATAAGAACACACCCTTGGAGAGTTGTAGTCATGAAGAGCTAGTCTCCTCCATGTGTTTAGGCCATTTATTTATGAAAGCAAGATTTAACAAACCATACATACATTACTTGTTGTTTTTTGTTTTTTGTTTTTTGTTTTTTCATTACTTGATTCTGTTTCCTAGAATGGTTATTAGAGGTGTGGTGGAAAAGCTCTCACTTCTGGGTGAGACCTCTAACTTAAATTCAGGCTTCATCCTACTCCACAGGCAGACATGGTCCTTAAACTCTAAGTTGCCATTGCCTAAACTATAAATATGGGTAGTGCTAATCTTGTAGGAGTTTTGAGAGGATTAATTGGGAAGAAGTTATTGTTAGCCTAGTAAGTACCAGGTACTGCCCCATGTTCTAGGAATGTAGACATGAGCACATAGGACAGCTGTTGTTTTCTGCAGATTCACATGGAACCTAGAAGAGACAGACAGTCCAGTTTCTGTCACTATAACAAAGTATCTGAGACTGGGATATTTATAAAGAATGAGAGTTTATTTGGCTCATGCCTCTGGAGACTGGGAAGTCCAAGAGCATGACACCAACAACTACTTGGCATCTGGTGAGGGCTATCTCATGCATTCTAACTGGTTGAGGCATCACATGGGGAGGCAGAGCAGACACTAGCTTAGGTCCTCTTCTTCTTCTAATAAACCCACCACTGCTATCATCTGGAGGGACCCCATCCTCTCAACCTCATCTAATCCTAATTATCTCCCAAAGACCTCACCTCAAAATACCAGTAACATGTGAGTTTAGGTAGTAAGTTTCCAACACATGAACTTTTGGGGGATATATTGAGACCACATCACAGACAATAAACAAAGAAACAAGAAGTAGAAAAACTTCAGACAGTCCTAAGAACTACACAGAAAATAAAGCAGGTGATATGAAATGACTGGTGTGGGGAGGCATGGTTAGTGAAATCATCTGATGGGACACCTTTCTGAAAGTGACATGTGAGCAGAAACCTTCATGTGCAGGGATTTGGGGTACAGGGGCTTCAGGTAAATAGAGCAGTGCAGGGGACCAAGACAGAGCCCCGTTTGCAGCACGGGAATGTCTGTGTGGCTGGGGGAGAGAGAGTGGAAGGAAACTAAGAGACCAGTCTAGGTCAGAGAGAACTTGGGGGCGGGCAGGCAAGGACCTGGACTTTATTCTAAGTGCACCGTGTGAGTTCACTGGCAGTGTTACACAATGTAGTGATGTGAAAGCCAGAAGGCAAGAAAGGGAGTGGGATTTCCATAGGAGCCAATTGCAGGCATGGAGGCAGAAATGTTTCAGTGTCTGCATGAAGATACAAGGGTCATGATTTACTAATGGACAGGATGGGAAATATCAGGGGCAAAATGATGCGGTGCTGGCTCTGGTTCTATGCTGAAGCAATTGTATAAATGGAGGCAGAAATGCTGGGATAAGAAACTCTGGGGTAAGGAACAGGCTGGTGGGCAGCATTCAAAGATCCATTTGGATTTGCTAAAGATGGGAGGGTAATCAGGCAGTGTATAATAAATGCTCAATAAACTTTTTAACTTTTGTTTTGTTACCTCAATCCAACATTAGATATGTGGCAATTGGAAACTTATGAAGATGTGAATTTTAGAAAAGCTTTTTAAGAAGCTGGGCCTGGTGGTGCACACCTATAATCTCAGCACTCGGGAGGCTGAGGCAGGAGGATCATTGTGAGTTCAAGACCAGCCTGGGCTATAAAATGAGCTCAAGGCCAGCCTGAACTCACTTTTAACTGCATAGTGAGACCCTGTCTTAAAAAGACAAAAAAAAAAGCACTTTTTAATGCATAGAACAACAAAGATCAATATTAAACCCATGTCATATTTTACTAAATCATATTGAGAAATATAGTTGGAGGCTCAAGAGAGCACAGTGGTAGAGCACATGCTTTGCATATTTAGAGCTCTGAGTTCAATCTCAAGCACAGGAGAAAAAAAGAAGAAAAAATGGAGTTTAAACAAGTTGCTAAGTATATAACCAGTAAGTTAACTGATAAAATCATCATCCAGTATGCACATATTGTGAACTGTTATAAATTAGAAACTTGATCATCTATAATTTTGCTTTGGTGATTTTGCAGGTTTGCACAAATATAATTGAGAAAAATGCAAACCCAGAGTGGAATCAAGTTGTCAATCTTCAGATCAAGGTTTGATTTTCTTTTCTTTCAAAAAAAGTCAGACTACTTCAGTACTTACTAAATAAATGGAGAAATAATTCTTTTTTCTGTTTCCTTTAAACAGTTTCCTTCAATGTGTGAAAAAATAAAACTAACTGTATTTGACTGGTGAGTTGAAAATAGAAATGTCTAATTGTCTAAAAATAAAATGCCTAATTTTACAATAAAGAATTAAGCATTTGGGTATTTAAGGTCTGGGGCTGTTGCTCAGTGGAAGAGTTTTCCTTGTCTAGAATGTAGGAGGTCTTGGGTTCTGTCTCAGGAAAAAAAAAGTGTTAAGGCATTTAAACACCTCAGGCTACATATTAAATGTGCTTTAGGAGTCTCAGTGACCCTCAGGATTTAGCTTGGGTGATGACTCTGAGCCATAAATTCTGCAGTGGGCTGATTGCTAATTAAGCCATCTCCCAGTTACCTGTTGTCACTACAAATGTGGAGTTTTTTTCTGACCTCACTTCGTCTTCCCTCTTCAATACAGTAGTATACATTAGGATGCAGAAAGAGACCCTGTTGAACTGGGAAATCCTTGGAGCCAGATTTTAGCTTATACACATTGTAATTGTATAACTGAGGGAAAGCTAAGGATTCTTCAAATGTAGTCTAGATCCATCTAAATACACAGAAAATATCCAAAAGCCAAGCATATAATATTTTTCTTAGGCAAATTGTTTTAATTAGTCATTTTTTATAAGCTAATGTACCATGTTCTAATCTTTCCTGCAAAACTGAGCCTTTGCTATTTTTCATGGAGTATTAGACCTCATAGTGGGCATGCCACTAAGAGGGATAAAACATAGGAAGAATGAAGCAGACAGAAAATATGTCCCTAACCTGAAACTTTCATGAGTCAGACTCACAAGCTCTCTAAGATACCCACAGTGTTATATTGTAGTGGGCAAATTTGTTCTCTTGAATTAGGTAAATTTTAGATTTTAGACAAGCAGCTACACTCAAAAATACTGCATCTACCACATAATAGGTTGTCAATAAATATTTGAACTGGAGGAGAATTTTCCTCCCTGTGATGAATACTTAGATATAGCTCATTATAATTACTAAGCCATTACAGTGGGCTGCTGATTTAGCTCAGTGGCAGGGCTTTTACCTAGCATGGATGAGTCCCTGGATTGAATCATCCGCACTATGAAAAAAAAAGCCATCATAGTAATTATGAACATGGTCAAATAATATACACAGTGTGGTGCAAAAATATAATGAATGTTTAAATTTAAAACAAATTTTATTTCTGAAAAAAGATACAATGTTGTTAATGCCTCTCAAAATAGTGCCGCCCCCCAGCATACTTATCCCATCATTCTTGTCACTTTCTTTTTCTTTTTCTTTTTTTTTTTTTTTTTTGTCTTTTTTTTGGGACAGGGTCTCCCTGTGCAGTTCAGACTGGCCTTGAGCTCACTTTGTAACCCAGGCTGGTCTTGAACTCACGACAACCCTCCTGCCTCAGCCTCCTGAGTGCTGGGGTTACAGGCGTGGACCACCACACCCAGCATCTTGTCACTTTCTAAAGCAGTTCTGAAAGTCCTTTTTCGTCTTTACTTGCACTTTTATGGCTGCCCTGATATCCTGAGTTGATTCAAAATGTTTACTTTTCATGTCATTTTGACTTGGGGAACTGCCAGAAATTGCATAGTGCCAGATCTGATAAATAAGGTGGATGAGGACAATTTAGAGTATTACATTATATTTGTAATATGCCTAAATTGTTTGATTCATTTTATGACAATAGTGTTGTGTGACCGTAGAAAAATCCTTTGATCTTTCTGTAAAATTTCAATTTTATAACTGCAGAATGACTTATCCAACTAGACCAGTGTTTATAAAGGGTGGTTAGAGAACCATCTGTCAGAATACACCAGGATATACTATTATAAATGTATACTCTGGCCAGGGATATAGCTCAGTGGTACAACACCTGCCTGGTGAGCACAAGGTCCTGAGTCCTATTCCCAGTACCCTCCCTCCACAAAGTGTATACTGTTGGTTCTTAACCCAGGCTTTTTGAATCAAAACCCTGGGCAGGAGATGAGGGTGGGGAGTTTCCAGGTGATTTTGGGAACAGTAGAGCCTGAGGATCCCTGAACAGGATGACTTCTGAGGTCTGTGGTATTTTCCAGTTCTATTGTTTTTATTGTTGAAATAAAAGCATATCTTCATAACCAGAGGCCTTAACCTGCTCTTTTACACAGGGACCGTCTTACCAAAAATGATGTAGTTGGAACAACATATCTATACCTCTCTAAAATTGCTGCCTCTGGTGGAGAAGTAGAAGGTGAGTCACTCAGCAGATATAAAGCAAGACAGGATAGTAAACTTCCAGAGAAAATATAAACTTGGGGAGCCACCTCACAATAGGCTTAGTTTCTTAAAAGGCAAATGTGAGGATCCTAGTGAACCAATTCAGTGATGTTTTGATGATGTCCAGCAAAATTATTAAAAATAGAAGCAACGAACAGTTTACCAATTTTATCTTTCCTGCTCAAGTCTAAAACTTCTTTGCCAGTAGCTATTTTATTAATTTTTTATTATAAATATAGAGTGCTAACACCTTACTTTTTTAGAATGGCACTGATACAAGTCTACCCAAACATAAAGAAATACTCCTCTCTTTTGTTTTGTTTTTTTCTGGTACCAGGAATCGAACTCACGACCTCGTGTTTGCCAGGCAGGCACTGTAGTACTGAGCTAAATCCCCAGCCCAAAGAAATATTCCTCTCTTAACTGATTCCCTTCATAGGAATAAAGAGACCAGATGCCAATGAACTATGTAATGTGCACTTTGTTTTCATTTTAACAGGTACTTAAAACCAATGCATTTTCTTTTTATTGTTCGGCATACTGGAGAGATACCTGTGTCTAGCACTATAGTGCATATATCAGAAATTGCCGTAGATAATGGAGGAAAGAAGTTAGAGTGATAAGGAAAAAATGTAATGGTAACACATTCATGCAATCATCTTACGTTTTGTTACCAAAACAAAAATTCATATAATTGCTGATAAACCAAATATACTGAGTACAGGGAGAAAATTTGAAGCAAACTTTTGAGATAAAATTTTATCTTGAGAAACTCAAGTTTCCTCTTATCCTCATCTTAAGATGACTTTAGAGGTTTTTTTAAAAATAGTGTTATAAGAACCAGGAAGATTAGGGACATGGAGAAGAAGATATCAGTTTCCTGTCTCAAGAAGCTAAAAAGACAGGCAATTATAAATCTATAGAAAAACAAAGAAGTGAGCAAAAAAGACATGGTTCAAATATGAAGCTATGTGTGGCATTATTTTAAGCAAATGGTAAAAGGTAAGGAAAAGATCCCATTTGAACATTTTCTACTGAGTGACACAAGGGACATGATACTAGAGGTGCAATGAAGGGACTGCAACCTCAACCCTTTCCTTTTCTCTGCAGAGAACAATATTTAAATGGTTGCTATAGTGTAAATACTATTTCTTTTGTTTTTATTAAACCCATAGCCTGCCGTCTGAATAAAGTATAAATGTCATCACCCATTACAATGTAAAAGTACCAAATGTACCAATGTAAAAGTATCACATTGCAAGTGAAAGAGGAAAGAGAATGAAGGTGAAGAGCATGCCTTGTAGTTGTGTGGTGGAAAGCCAAGTGTTCTTCAAATGTAGTCTAGACCCATCTGAATGCATAGAAAATATCCAAAATCCATCCATGTGATTCAATGCCCCAAAATAATATTAGTAGCCTCTTCTTATTGAGTGTGCAATCGAGATATAAAAGCACTACAGAGTAAATCACAAAGCAAACCAGTAGAGGAATTAAAAGTAATGCTATGCTTGATTCCTTCACCATAACAAAAATCATGCTAGAACTATATAGAGGAGTAAGTAAAAATCCACTTAATATTATTAGGAAGTCACTTAATATTATCTAAAGATAATTATTCAAAGAATATTTGTGTAAGTATTTAACTTTCTGATAGGGGGATAACATCCACAAGAACTAAAACCAGAAGTTGTTACAAGCAGTTTCAGTCCCTGTCTCTGAGACCTCTCCCTGCAGGCAGTCTGTTACAGGATTGCAGAATAACAATGAGCTGTCGTCCCCCTCAAAATAAACAAACCATGCTTTGAATGAAATAATGTATGATTAACTACAGGCATTTGCTTACATAGCTTCAGACTAAATTAACCTGAATTTTCTGGCCTAAATCCCAACTGAGTCAGCCACAAGACAAGTAAATGTTTTACTAAATGCATGAAGTGTTGATAACTTTACTAGGCCTCCTTTGGCTATGGGAAGCTAGTTCTTCTCAGTTAAGCACCTGGTTCCTTGGGGCTGACAAATGTGGGTTATTTGTGTAATGGTTCTGCCAACTGTCACAAAGTTTTGAGCCATTTTACATCAACCCATTACAAAAGGGTCATGTGATTTGGGTCTAAATTTTGAATTTTTCTGATGTTGCTAAACCACTTACCTAGCACGGGATTTGATTAACTTTTCAGTGTCTGTTGTATAATGCTCATGTTTCTCTTGTTTTTTAACCAATCATATTTTTACTATATAGATTTCTCATCTTCGGGAACTGGGGCTGCATCGTATACAGGTTTATGCTTTGTAATTTTGCTGTCTATTAGAGCTTCCTATCTATTATCTTACTAAGAATATATTAATTGATTGTCTCTAGAATCTTGTTTTTGACATTTTGCTAGCTCACAAATAGTTTTGCAAGGGTAATAAATTTTTATGTACATTGTATGTTTGTCCTGCATAGCTAAGCTTAAAACAAACATACTAACAAGGCCTTGCTACATGATTTAGGTTTTTACCTGGATGTACCTCATCCCATTTGGCTTCATTTCAAATAATTCTTTGTGAGATATATCATTGTTATTTTTTATGTTCAGTAAGTAGAGATACGAAGCACTAAATTAATTGTTCTGAAATGTATGAAGTACCTTTCTCTCACTTTCAGCATGGATATCTAGATTGTAAGAGATGAATATTTTCCACTTTTCACCCTGAAAGTCAGCTTCTAAATATGAAGCATCATCTCATGTACTTCGGTCTGTATAACACTTGGCATTTTTTGCAAGTTTGCTTATTGTGCCTATCACAATTCTCCTGAGGCAGATGTTATCGTTCCCCCACTAGTTGAGGATCCTGATATATAGAAAGATCCTCTGCCAAATAAATATGCTAACACCTGCCATGATAATTGCCCAGGGTAGTGGTGAGAGGGTGTTAGAGATCGTGTATGTTGGAAAGCTTTGCAAACTCTCAAGCTATATGCAAATAGAAGGCTATATAATCTGCCTTTTACCTAATTGTAAATGCCCAATTCTTACTTGTTTTAAAAAATCAGTCTCGTTATCTTATTATCAGATTTTATATGAACACAAAGTAGTCCTTAGATTCGTGACTAACATGGCAGACTTGGAAATGCTTTATTTCTTCATATATTTGTTCAAACAATTCATAAATGTATATGATAGAACCAGTACTTTGTATTTAGGAAATCTAAATAAAACATAAATCCTGTCACTGTCCTGGAAGGATTTTATACTGTAGTCACAGAAATAAGCAGCTATTTGAGATTCTGAAAGCAGCAATGTAGTGCTGGGGCTGGAGCTCAGTGGTAGAGCTCCTGTCTTGTGCTGTAGTCAAGTTTTGCAAGGGAAATCATTTAATATGGAACACATAACTGATAAGATTATTTGATAGTAGTCACCCAAAAAATAAAATACAAAAGAGTGCAGAAAATCTGTCCACACACTAGAGATCAAAAGAATCCAGCTGAGGGCCCATATCCCACAGCAATATACTGCATGAGTCCAGCTGAAGACCTAAAGCCCATGACAATTCCCCCATGAGACCATCTGAAGGCCCAGAGCCTACGACAGGGTCTCCTGCAAGTCTGTGCAATGGATCTGCACTGAGAAGTCTTAAAGGTCAATGGTAGAAACTAGAAAGTCTGTGCCAGCAGAATGAAGGATCTGTGCTAGCAGGCTAAAGGATCTGCACTGGAGCCAGGAAGCGATGCTCAAAGTAAGAACCAGTGATACCCTAAAAAGTACCACAGTCATCCTCAGCAACAGTGAGGTCCCAAGTTCCTCCGATGATAACAGCTGAGTTCATATCAGGAAAGCCAACATGACAAGCGTCTCCAGGAAAATCAACAGCACTACTTCTTCCTCTCCAGTTCTCCTTTTTATGTTGTTGGCAACAATCCTCAGGTGGGCCCTCTACACCCAGAACCGTGCTGATTCAGTGCACAAGTTGACCACCAATTGTCAGTCTACCACATGTTACATGCACAAAGCCCTGGGTTCCATCCCTAGCACTACACACACAACACATACATACTAAAATGTAAAGTAATTTATAGAAGCCCAATGCCAAGGATTTCAAAGAGGTGGGGGAGGTATGGAAATACTGTTTTCAAAAGTGGGCTGTAGCTAGATTAGAGTAAACTCTGATGGCCAGACTAAAGACATGTTATTTTATTTTGTGTTGGCTCTTCAGGAAGGAGCTTGGGAAGTTTGATGTGACAACTGTACATAAAATGGGTTAGGAATGTTTGGAGAAAGGCACATAGCTTGTGAGAGAATAGGTTTTCCTAGGAGACCATGTTGAGACATGAACATATGGAAGGAGAGCTCTTCATGCTAATGCTCAACTAAACAAGTCAAAGGGCATGTTAAGTATTTTAAACTGGAAAAAAGATTTGGTTGGACAGAAAGAATTAATCCCTTGGTATCATAGTCAAAGTAGTGGATCATAATCAGCAGTTTGTGTCTTAATCCCTGGGGATCTTTAACGAAAGGCAAATACTCATGACCAAACACACAGTCACCCATGGAACTAGCTGGAGATGAGGTGGGATTAGACCAGAGGAATGGATGATATAATGAAAAGCTACCTTGTCTGAGCTTTGAATCTCAAGGTCTGAGCCTAAATCTACCAATTTATGGGATCTTTGACAGCTCACCTCACTTCTGGGGGCTTCACTTTCCCCATCCACAATGTGACACAACTAGCTAGGTGCACTAGCTTGAGCATCCATTCTAACTTAAACATTCTCTTAAAACATTCTCTTAAAAAAGAGACAGTAGTTGAGCTTCTAAAATTACTTCTCTCCCCCTTATGAGTTTCTGCTTTAATCCTTCATTCCTACCCAATATTCCTCTTAGATCAAATACATTAACACAAGAAAAGAAACCTAAATTCAATGGGGCATGGTGACGCACACCTGTAATCTCAGCACTCGGGAAGCTGAGCTATTTGGAGAAAGACACATAGCTTGTGAGAGAATAGGTTTTCCTAGGAGACCATGTTGAGACATGAACATATGGAAGGAGGGGGATATTTGTGAGTTCGAGACCAACCTAGGCTACAAAGTGAGGTCAAGGCCAGCATGAACTGCACAGCGAGACCCTGTCTCAAAAAGACAAAAAAAAAAAAAAAAAGAAAGAAAGAAACTTAAATTCTACTTCTTAATGATCAGTTAGTCAATTTTGCAATGTTCCATACAACAGAGTGGATGAAACCAAATCAATTTATATATTCAGATATATTAGTCTTGTTTCATCCTGCCCAATTCTCTGTAGTATGATAAATGACTCAGAAAAATTTCTGCTGGCAAAAATATTGGTCTTCATATAAGTCACAAGAGATTTTTAAATAGATGTCAAATGGTTTACAAAGTGGTGATGTTGCACCACCAGGCTGACATGTATTACTTTACTGTGGGTTTTTTTTTTTTTTTTTGCCTCTTTTGAGACAGGGTCTAGCTATGCAGTTCAGGCTGGCCTTGAACTTACTTTGTAGCCCTGGTCTTGAACTAGCAAAGATCCTATTGCCTCAGCCTCCCGAGTGCTGGGATTACAGGCGTGAGCGCACCACCATGCCTGGCTACTTTTCTGTATTTTAACTTAAATATTTCTTTTCTCTTGCTGTCTTCACTGAGATTTCTGGCTAGCAAATTTCATCCAGTGTCCAGAGTTTTATCTCCTTCTCAAAGTCTACACTCCAACTTAGACATGCAGGGAGTGTCACATGAAAATGATTGTAAAGAATACATCTATATGGTTAGGTCAACTGTGTTTTAATGGTCATGCTGCACACTTGCTACTCCACGTTTATCTTTCACCCTTAGTTTTAAGCTTAAAGTTTGAAAAGGTCAGAGAAGTGTTCTGGTCTACTTCACATCCATAGCAAGAATTACCTTGACAATCTTCAGAGAGACAGGCTGAACCATTTGCCTTAAAGTGTCTTTTGATTATGCCTAATGTAACGTGCCCCATTGTTTAGCATCTGTAATTCACAGAAAGCTCTTCTTCATACAGAATGAATCAAAGTTGGCTTCCATGTATCTTCCAGAAGTGGTCTTCACTCTGCTTTTTGGAGTTAAGTCCATTTCTTTTTCATAAGGAAGCCATTCAGACTATTGAAGTCAGCTCTTACATTCTCCCCACCCACAATTTCTTCTTAATATAGCTATTTCCTTACATGCCCTCAGTGCCTTTCATTAATGCATCTAAGTAAAAGAAAGAAAGAGTTTATCAAGTGATCATCAGAGATAGAAAGTAATGAATGGTAATGCTCTTAACACTTGTGATTACTATGTGGCTCTATAACCATAGGCAGGTATTTCACAGTTACATATAAAAATTTAAAATATATATCTTAATAGCACCTGTCAGATTTATACTAACTACTTGAGATTAAATTACATACCTTTTGGAGACAAATAAAACTAACTTGATATATCATTTAAATGACTTCTCAAAACAATGTAATCTTTTACCCCAATTGCCAATAAGATGTTTAATACCATTATAAACTTGCAAAAAATGTGAAGGTCAACTTGAAAATCTCATTATTCTTTCATTTAAATAGTGGCATCTTTTTCTCAGAATAAATTTAACCAAAATACCTCTAAATTGTTTTTATCACATATTTTTAGCAATAATAAAGGGGAAATATGGAAAGTCTCATGAGTGCTTATAACTTACACTAACACAACTAACTTACAAAATGGAGGGGAAGCATCTCATCTAACTAGCTAATAACTAATATTTATTTCAATAGGTCCAATGTTAAAAGCCTAAAATTCAATGATGGTGTTTATTTCTAGCAAATACAGGAGAAACGGAGGTGGGTTTTGTTCCAACATTTGGACCTTGTTATCTGAACCTTTATGGAAGTCCCAGAGAGTACACAGGATTCCCAGACCCCTACGATGACCTAAATACTGGAAAGGTTAGTTTTTCAATTAAGGTTGTTATTAATGAGGACTGAGGAACATGATTCCTTCGTATAATGGTAATAATTATCATACTTAGGGGCATCCTCCTAATTCTTTTCCAGACCTACCATACTACCGATCAAGTGTTGAAGGCTAGAAGTCTTGTACTTCTTGAGTCTTAGAGTGCAAAAATAGAAAAGGATCCTAGAGGTTATCTAATTTGGCGATGGCAAATGACATTTCCCTCCTTCAACTTTTATACTATGGAAAGCATCATAATTATCATAATTAATGCTGGGCTGGGGTGTAACTCAGCAGTAGAGTAGTTACTTAGCATGCACTAGTTCCTGGATTCAATTCCTTGGAATTCTTTTCCGTATCACATTCTAGAAATTTACCAAACAGTTGGCACTGACATACAAACCTGCTGAAGCACTTTCTTATTCCTGATCTGATCCAACCCTCTAATTTCATACATGAGAACACAAGGGGAAGAGATGAGAAATGCTCTTTCCACTATAGTCAGACTAATAAGACAGAGTTCTTTTTGCTATTTTCCATGGCTAGGGGACTAATCCTGCATTCTTGCCTTTCAGGGAGAAGGAGTTGCCTACAGAGGCAGGATCTTGGTTGAACTAAGCACTTTGCTTGAAAAGACACCACCAGATAAGAAGCTTGAGCCCATTTCAAATGATGACCTGCTGGTTGTTGAGGTAAGTGTTAGAGTGTGAGCCATGCATGGCATAGAATATGGCAGTTTAAAGGATTGAAGGTAAGGTGGCCGGCCACTGACTGCTTGAGCAAGCGGACCCAAAGCGGATAGCCAGGGATCAGTAATTAGCAGTGGTATAGTTGGACAAAGACCTGTCTTCTAACAAGTGCCTCCAACAACTTCTTAATGTATCTACAACATCCTTTGTGAGGGTGATGAGACTTCCTTTATTCTTCAAGATGCTAACTAGACTTGGGTGTCATAAGGAGTTAACCATAAAAGCTACCATTCAAAGTTGTAAGTACTACCACTAGTTATTCCTATTTTCACAGGTAGCTGGTATATGTCAGGCTTCACAGCTTTCTGGGCATATTTACTTATGGCCTATGTTATAATTGCTCTGAGCCCCCTTTCTCCTTGAAGACAAAAAGTTTTCCATGTTTACTTCCCTACTTCTCAGAATCCCAAGTGTATGCTTTTCGGTTCCACAAATCTGGATTACCTGCAAGAACAACACACTCACTGACACTTCTCTCCTCAGGCCCTCTCGTGCTGGTTCCAAATCAAGTGTGGTCCTTCGCTGCTTTTATCTTTCATTCTGTGCACAAGGAAGGCCTTTCTCTCATTTGCACTCATTGTGGAGAAATCAAACCACAACTTTTTAAAAGCTTTCAGTTCTGAGACAGGAGTAGAGAAGCAGTGAAATGGGTAACACAAAGCTGCTGCTAACACTGCCTGTTCTGAGAGCCCAAGAGCTCAGACCAGCCAAGTCCCTGATGACAGCCTTCCTGTCTACCTCAGCATGTCTTCTTGTGGTGGGGCTAGGTTCTCCTCTTCAGACTGAACCCATCTTCTTTCACCTCAGAGCCTAGGTCCAGCTGCCAGGAGTTATCACCCATCCAAGGGCTGTTTTCTTCCTTCTAATAGTCTAATGTCTGCCTGTTATAAAATGTGCCCCTTTTCAGGATGATTGAAAGGGTAAATATCCACTCCTTCTTTCCCTTCTCCCCAGGACAATGTGGCTTTGCTCATTGACTTCCAAAAAGGCACACTAGGTTAATATCCAAAGCAGTGTGTTCTAAATTCTTCAGTCTTCCAAGTCACCAAGGATTGCAACATAGTCCTGGCTAAAACATGCCCAAACAGAACTGTTCAATTCAGGCAATTTAAATTGTGAAAGGATTATTATAGGTATTTGCTTTCTATTATAGTTGGGAATGCATCAAAAAATTTTCCTAAAACAAAGCCTTCAGTGTGAACTCATGCTGCCTCTAGAATCAGAAATTGCTTATGGCTTTTACATGGCAGCTTTTCCAGTTTTTACACATTAACATTTCTATTTTAAAAGCCTTAGGGTGGCCTTTTGATTAAGTTGTTTATTTGAGTTTCGCTGGGCCAACTTACAAAAGTGGATACAAAGGCTAGGTTATTACAATAATGTACCAGGGGATACCTCTCAATAAATCATCAAGTTTGGCTTCACCACCCTAACCCTTATACTCCCCTCACTGATAAATTATATCATCATACAATTAGTACAACGATGCCATTCATGAGTATAACATTAAGGGTTTGACTACTATTGCATCATCCCAGAGTTTTTGGGGGTGTAATTAATGGTTTGGCTAAGGTGAGAATTTAAAGTACCTGCTCTGAGAAGCAGGCATGGGGCTGCCAGTGAGTGCACCTAGCCAGCCATGGTGTGTGCAGACCAGTGAGAGTGCGGCTTTGTGGTTCACTCTTCCCCCCACTGGTGCAGCAGCTTTCATTTAGGATGTCAAAGAGACCTCCAAACTTTCAGTTACTTTGTTATAGTTCATGAGGAAATGATAGAATATTATGATACCCTTGAATTCTGAGAATTGCTCTTATCTCAGGAAGAAATTCCTTCCAAAATGGCATGATCTGAGTGTTTGTGTCCGTCTAAAACTCTTGTGTTGACACCTAAGGTCCCTGGTGATGGTATTATGAGGTGAGGCCTTTGGGAGGCCATTCAATTGTGAGAGCCCTGTCCCCATGAACGAAATTAGTGTCCTCATAAAAGAAGCCCCAGAGAGCCTCTTTGCAGCTTCTGCCACATGAGGACACTGCTAGAAGATGGCCCTTATTGGCCTCAAATCTGCTGGCACCCAGATCTTGGGCTGCCCAGTGTCTAGAGCTATGAGAAATATATATTGTTATTTATAAGTCATCAACTTTTGTTTTTGTGATAGCAGCTAAAATTTACTAAGATACAAATGATGAGTGTACCATAATACAACAGCAAAAAAAGGATTAATTAAACAACTGAAGACCTAAAGTGGTGGACTTATTTTGCCTTTTACGCTGAATCCTGCAAGATAGGCTATAAATCAAAAAGAGCTTTTGTAGGCAGATTTCAGGGGTTTATGCTGTGAGATCATGTAAGGCAAATCCATTTTGCATTGCTTTTTACTTGTTGAAGAGACAAAACCAAAAGCAACAGAACCCCCAGTCAAAAGGATCCCAACCAATGTCTTTCTACCCACTCCACAATACTCTCAACTTTATATAAATTCCAGGAATCACAGTAGACCTTGAGAACACATTCAGAAAAAGAAAGAAGAAGAGAGGTAAGAATCGGGTAGCTTACATTGTGTTTACTGCCAGGGTCACACAGGAAGATGCCTAGAATCCAACTACTGGCCTGCAAGGAAATACACAGCAATGGCATGATGATTCCAGACTAGAGTAATCACAGACTGGACTCAACCCTTAATGATGTCAGTTGGAGTTGAGGGTTAAAACAACTGCCGTGCTTTATAGGCACTCCAGCATTACTATACCTGTTTGTTTGTTTGTTTGTTTTTTGAGACAGAGTCTCACTATATAGTACAGACTGGCCTTTACCTCACTATGTTACCCAGGCTGGCCTCCACCTTGCAATGATCCTCCTGCCTCAGCCTTCCAAATGCTGGCATTACAGGTGTGCCACCACGCCTGACCTACCGCCTGTGTAATTTGCTCATCATGAAAACACAATTTAAGTCTAGGCTCCTTCGTTTTATGTGTTTGTTTTAAACAACTGCTAAGGCAGGATGGAGAGAGGTGACCCAGCAAAATATAAAACAAAAATCCTTTATAACAAAGGCAAAAGTAAATTAGTTTTCTTTACTGAAAATAACAGATACATAGGCAAAGAAGTTTATTTTATTCATTTAGTAAAAATAAAAACAAAAACTAAGGTAGCAAATAATATATATTGCCCACAATATATGTCAACAGCATAAGAAAATATCATTTTATTAACTGGTTTGTAAAACAAAAATTGTTTTATTTGTTCCAGATAATGAAATACAGGCAGTTAAATGGCTTGTGTAATAAATTTAATACAAACCAAAAAGAAACAGAAAAAAGAAGTGAAACAAATGCTTTTAACAGCATTAAAAGGCGAGGAGCTGAGACTCTGAGGCCTTATGAATATCAGAAGCAGGTGAAGAGCTCCAGAGAAAAGTGGGATAGTTATATTTGTACCACCTATCAGGAGTAAGTGAGTGCAGTCAATCTAGAGAATGACTGTGACTCTTGTCCCTCTTAGAAAGGCCGCATGTCCTGGGCCATATACAAATAACAAAAGCTTTGGGGGGAGCTGAGGAGGCTGCGACGAAAAGACAACATGGCTGCCTTATAGTCCAGAGCTCCCTCTTCTCCCTGGGGCACAGGTGGCCTTACTCCAGGGAGGAGGAACAGCAGAGTCCAGCCTGGCTCCTTCCAAAGAAGGAGCCGGGAAGATAGGCGAGGACCAAGTGTGGCAAACCCAGCATTATTCCTGCACCTCCTGGCTTCTGAAACCTCTGCCTTGTCACAGCGGCCTTGTTTTAGTCCCTGTGATCTGAGATCTGCTCTTGGACTATGTTCTCCCTGCCCTCCTCCCCAGTCTTCTTGTGTGCAAACATTTTAGGAACCTGAAATCTTGCTCCTTCTCAATTGGAACCTTTCTGTGACCTCTTTTTTGTTAGGGCTCATTAAATACCACTTCAAAGAACAGGTCCTGATTCTTCCATCAGCTCCACTAGTTGTCAGTCATCTGCAGTGAACACACCAAAGGAGGCAAGTCGGGCAGCTCTCTTGGGTGTGTATCTTCCTTGTCACTGACTTTAATGTCCTATGCCTGTATGCCCACAGCACACTGCTAAGAACTGTTACCCAGTGTCAGTATCCTGCTTGACAAAAGCTCACCTCCTCCAAATCTACTTCTGTAATTCGCCTGTGTCACCGCGTCTACAGTGTTCACTGATCGCTGACAAGCAGGAGAGCCTAAGCGTCAGCCCTAGCAAAGAAACACCCCTCTGTGTCCAATACACTATAATTTACTTGTGTGGGCAGTTTTGCCCCAAGGCTGCTAAGGGAGGGTACAGAATAAGCACTGGGGATCATAACTTCTCCAAATGATGTTTACTGTTTCTTCCTCTTGCCACCTCTATGGCCTGAGGGCACAGGGGAAGTGGGAAAGAGCTGAGGAGAGGCAGAATCTTCAGCTGCCCTAATCTGGTACAATGGGGCTCTCGGGCAGGTGAGCAGAGGACCTACAGCTTGGACTCGCAGTGTGGTCTTTGGGGTGTGCCACCTTCAGCAGCATCCTCACAATGTGCACCAGTCTGCTGGGAGTTGTGTAATGGCTAGAAACCCAAACTATTCTTTCCAAAGTTCAGCCTCTCTAGGATGAGGGTCCTATTATCAGGGCTTCTGTGGAAGACTGTGCACATGCTGCGTGGGAACACTGAGGGAGTTTTAATGAGATCCGGGCTTATGTGGAGGTTGGCAGAGCAGAGAAGACCTAGCCAGAGGCACCCTCACTACCCGTCCCCTGAGCCACCTCAGAACTTTCTCTGTTCTCTGCAGCTCCTCATTTTAATAGATGCTTCCAGATTAAATACTGCTTATTTTCTTCTGGGCCCTGACACAGGTCCCAATTTATGTTTCCTGTTTTTAACTCCTTCCCTTTTCTTATATCATCCTAAGAGGTTTACAGAGAAGTTATACCATATATATAAGTTCTGACTCATATGAATAACTTCCTACTTTTTAATTCTTACACAACCCAGATGAAATTCAAAATTTCCACAGCATGACTGAACCAGGGCTTGGTTATGTGTAGTTAACCAGAAATCCTGACAAGTAGCTTGAGCCCCACAAGTTTCTCTACCAAAGTGAGACTGGACTAATGTAAAGAAGTTTTAAACTCATAACACCCAACTTAATGCTCCATAAGTGATTCAATGTGCAGCAAAGGTTGCAAACCAATGTTTTAGAAAGTCTTCCAAAAAAGATTGATGCTAGAGAGATTTCTGACAAAATGTCACTGGAGATTTTTTTTTTATACCATGTCAAAAATTCCTTTATCCAAAATGAAGACTTTGTAATGATGGAATGTACAGAGGGTTGTTTCTTTCTCTCCCTGCACCTATAAGACTACAAGCTATTTCATAGTCAGAAATTCTTGGGAACGTTCTCAGAAAATTAAAAACAGACTCACCAGATGATACAGTAATTCCACTTCTGAGTATAGACCCAAAAGATTTGGAAGCATGGACTCAGATATGTGTATACCCATATTCAAAGCAGTGTTATTCACATTAGCTAAAAGGTGAATGCAATCCAAGTGTCCCTTAGTGGATAAGTGGTTAAATAAAATGAAGTATATTGCTATAATGGAATGTTATTTGGCCTGGAAAAAGGAGGAAATTCTGACACGTGCTACAGCATGGATGATACTAAGGACTTATAAGGGAATTACCAGACATAGGACAAATACTATATGATTCCACTTAAATACTGTATGATTCCACTTAAATGGGGTACTTAAAACAGTCAAATTCATAGAGAGAAAAAGTATAATGGAGTTGGGGGAGGGGAAGTGGAGAGTTATATTTAATAAAGATAGAGTGTCAGTTTTGCAGATAAAAGTTCTGTGGGTGACATTGGTGATGGCAGCACAGCAGTGTGAGTGTATTAATACCACTGAACCATATATCTAAAATGGTAAAATCTTCTATATTTACCACAATTTTTTCAAAAGATTTTGAAATGCTTATTTGAGTAATTCTGTAAAAATGTGACCACATTCTTGCTCAAATGAGCCTGAAGGTCCACCCATAAGTATGATTCATTTTGTTGAATAAGGACCATAACGTGGATGGACAGTAAAGGAAAGAATAACTAGGTAATAAGCACCCTCAAAGGATCAAGTATTTTTATTATAATTATTCCACCATATGAAGTGTACAGATTAATAGGTTTCACACTGACACTTCCATGCACATGCATAGTGTGTTTCAGCTGTGTCTACCCGTCCTACTCCTCCCTCCGTCCTGCCCCCATCCTTCGCTAATAAGCTACCCTCTACTTCCAGTTCATCTTTTTTGTTGTTCTTGTTGTCAGTTTTCACAGAAAACATGTGATACTTTCTGTGCCTGGCTAATTTCAATCAATATGATAGCCCTAAAAAATAACTTTTATTAAGATTCCAGAGGTGACAGGCATTACTAGATTATGCTACAAAATCAATAGTGAGGTAGCAATTGAAGAAAATAAATACAACGAAGAGTCATCATATACCAAACTGTGGTGTCTCTATGACCACTAGTGTCAAACAGAAGGAGTACAGGGCTCAAGTGCTGCGCTAGGGGTTTTTGAACTAAAGGTGCTCTGGTGAGAAATTTGTCACGCAATTTGAATGTAATTATTTATGGGTCATGTAAGTTAACCAGTGGAGCACATAATCAGTATCGCTTCTGTGATAAACAGCAATGTTCTCACCTCCTTCCTGGGAAAGTGTACACTGAGAATAGATACCACCAAGGTTCCAAAACAGGCCCTATATGTAGACGGCTACTTACCATTGCGTGCCCATTTGACTGGAGAAGACAAAAGGCCTTAAGGCTGGAGGACTATGGGCAAGAAGAAGGAGAAATACCATCTGAGCCAGGACTTGGGGCAGGGTATGGATTCAAGAGATTTTATGTATTCAGGCCCATAAAGGAGGACTGAAGGGCTCAAGCTCATTTCTGCTAGGCTGATAGACACTCAGCATGGTTATTCGGAGCCCTATCTTCAACCCTGTCCCTCACACACTCATACCCTCAGTGATAAAAAGAAAAAGGGAAGGAAGGAATGAGACCTAATTTCACTTATTTTTAAATTTGACATTAAAGCCTTTTTCTGATTAGAAAATGAACACTTAAGCAATTCAAAAAAATAAGCATGTGAGGCTGGGGGTTTAGCTCAGTGGCATAGCGCCTGCCTGGCAAGCACAAGGTCGTGAGTTCGATTCTTGGTACCGGAAAAAAAAAAAAAGAAAAAAGAAAAAGTAAAAAAGACTGCAAGTAAGTTTTAAAAACAATAAGCATGTATAAGTTAGAAAACAGAATTTGCCATAATCTCTCAACCTTTTCCAATATATGTATTAACAATCTGAGTCCTTTTCTTCCATACCTTCTTCGTGCATATGCCTGTATTAAAAGTATATTCAACGAATTCGCTTAAAATATACCATTCTAGAGGCCAAAGATGAAACTCAGCCATAGAGTTCTTGCCTAGCACACACAAGACCCTGTATTTGATCCCCCAAACCACAAAATTATACTAGGAAAGTAAAATAAAATGTTTTCTGTGTGCACATATGGATCTACTTAGGCATTGTAAACTTTCATTTTGTTACATGACTGTAACACAATTTTTTTAAACAGTGACCTATTTTTCCCCCTTGATTTCAATCAGCAATGCAGTCAACATCTGCCTTTTCCCACTTGTCTGAGTATGAGGGCAACCCCTGGTATTTAATTCAGCACCAATTAATTAGATTTATAGTCACATCTGCTAGATACCCACATGTAAATAAGGGCAAAAGGTATTCTTTTTAACTTTATGTCTACTTGTCCTTTATAGAAATATCAGCGAAGGCGGAAGTACAGCCTTTCTGCCGTGTTCCATTCAGCCACCATGTTGCAAGATGTTGGCGAAGCCATTCAGTTTGAAGTCAGCATTGGAAACTATGGCAACAAGTTTGACATGACCTGTAAGCCTTTGGCATCAACAACTCAGTATAGCCGTGCTGTTTTTGATGGTAAGATTGGCAGACCATTTTCTCCTTTCCCTCTGGCACCATTATCCTCAGCATACTGTTAAGAGAGAGGAAAAAGTGAAAGAGAGATTTTCACAATCCTGAGAGGGAAAGAACTATTTCTTCCTCTGTTGTTTATTTGATAAAATTACAGAACAGACTACCCCAAACCATTCCACAAGCATATGGATTGCTAAGTAGTTCAGTCTTCACATCTCTTTAATTAACCTGTTGTCTAAGTGTCCCATGTTCACTGATTCCTGATGTTCCATACCAGGGAACTACTATTACTACTTACCCTGGGCCACACAAAGCCAGTTGTTACCCTGACTTCATACTGGGAGGATATTAGTCATCGCCTGGATGCAGTGAACACTCTCCTAGTCATGGTAGAGAGGCTGGTAAGTTTACCTTTCTTACATTTCTTTTCCTGTTTTCATACTTCCTCTTCACCAGAGTAAATTATGTATCAGTTAGAATACAGGCTATGCCACTATAACACAAGACCTCAAAATTCAATGGTCAACAAGATAAGAGCATTTCTGTAGTGACAGCTGAGGTAAGTGGACCAAGGCTAATATGGCACTTCAGTGGTGTTGGGGACACTTTGTGTCTCAGTGCTCTACTATTACCAAGGAGTCACCATTGTCTGCCTGGTAGAGGCCACTTATACAACACTCAACCTCCAGTGTGAAGAAAGGAGAAAGACTGATAAGAAAGATCCACAAGAAACATTCTCTATTTCTATTCACTTTCCACTGACCAGAATCCACTTATACAGCCCATTCAATGTCAAAGAAGTTATGGAATGCAGTATTATTCCTCAGTAGGCATAAGGCTAGATAAAAGTTTTTTTACATGGAAGAATGGAGGATGCAAAAAGTGGGGTCTGAGAGAAGAGAGGATTCATAATTTCTGCCATAATTTGTATTTGGAGAGCGCTTTATACCAATAGCAATACGGAACTCTTAGGGTTTTGCTGTTAGTGCTGTAAAAAGTCTTTACTATGATAAGAAATGGCTTAGAGAAACCAGTGTCTGAGATTTTCTACTCTTGCTGCAGTGAAGAACTTCCTTTGTTTGGTGGTTACAAGCTGATTTCTACCAGTGGAACTAGACAGGCTACCTGTGATTATCCACCTTGTTGATATTGCTCAACTAGATTGGTGAGGAAAAAGGAGATATGTTTGGAATATTTCCAATTACAATATATTTCTGATATCAATGTTAAATTATCCCTATCAGGTAAAATCTGTCTGGTATTAGTGTGTTGATTTTCACATTGTATTAATGTCAGGTATCAGAGGGGGGCTGCTAGGAAATGGGTTGTTGGGATA